ATATTAATTAAAGTTGCACTGTTTAATCAAATAAATTGGTAAAAAAAATGTATATTATTATTGTTTGGTTGCTAAATTTGCCACATTTTTTTATTTTATTTAGCCATGTATTTACTTTTTCAAGCCATTTATATAGTTCTACATTTATTTCCCATTATGATAGGTTCCGTCCTCCACTGTTTGTGAGCAGTTGTGAACATGCGTGTATATACAAGATTTCTCCAATGGAATATTTAATAGTGACTGTGGAGGACCGGAGACCTGTTAGGGTATTAAACATTTCAGACTAGTAGTTACTAGCTTGTAAGCACAATAAGAGGAAATGCATATTTTAACATATAATAATGTACTGCATTATAAATATCCACACATATTAAAGGGATCTCTGTACACTATTTTAGATTGGGTTGGATTATTTGGTACGTCGTTAACATGACGTTTTGTAGTTTTTTGATACATCAACATTGTTGATAGTAGTTACAYGTTTGAACAATAATTTCAAATATTGATTATCAACACTAAGTTTAAAAATGATTTTTCACATGAAAGAATAACTTTTGGCATTTCTAAATGTTTATTCGTCATTAATAAATAGTGTACTGTAGGTTATTACATTTTATGATAAGTCTCCATCATCACTCCCAGGTAAAGGACAGATGAGTGACAGGACAGGGGCACTTCAGGGGGCCAATCAGATTTCAGCTGGGGCCAATGCCCCTGTGGCCCCACTCCTAGAACGGCCCCTGAAGTGAAAGTGTCTGGGAGTYAACAAAATGAAAYGGGGTTAACTCCAAATGTTAATCAGTTGTGGATATACATCCAAATATTACTTTCTGKGAGTTTCACTAAAATCTGTACTCTGGTTCACACAGCAGATAAATGCGCACACAGTCAGGCMAAAGGTGGCAAGCCATGACAGCTATTTTTAAGTCTCTTACGTGCATTAATATATGTATCTTTTGAACAAGCTTTTATAGCTATCACATATTTTTTACACAAAGTTTTAAAACCAATGAAAACTTGTGAAAATTATGACATAATATAAAATGTAGTAGCTAAATGAATAAGCATATTCGACTAACAGAGTTTGTTACATGATGATTTATCCTCTAAATGGATTTCTAATGTTGTTCTTGTTCTTTGCAATATCACCACCAAATGGAGTGGATCAAAATGTCTCCCCAAAACATATCCACTGATACGTCATTTGTAATTATATTACATATTTCTAAATTTAACTGTGGTACTAGCCTATAACTCCTACTTTTATGCTTTGATGTTTTTGATGTATCTGTATAAATCTGTACATAAACAGGCATTTGCTACTCCTRCAGGCTACTGTAGGCCTATATGAATTAAAAACGAAAGTCTTGTCCATTTTCTTGGCCATATCAACTATGTAATCTGGAATAATCCGGGTGGTATTTTTGGTACTGGTACAAGTGGACCACTGTCTCAATTGTTTACTTATATTTCTTTTGTTTTCTGATCAATCACCCAATGAAGATCTGAAGACAACTGGCCAATGACAGTTTTACTTTTCCTAATGCGCATGCTCCAAATCAGGAACAGGAAAGCCAAAGATGAGATGTAGATTCAAGACAGTTACCGCATTTGTTTATTTGGATAAAAGTCGCTTTACATTTTGGAAGAAACATAAAAATATGTGTGTATTCTTTAGATTAGTACTTGCGGCAATTGAAACAAAATGAAAGAAAACAAAAACACAGGAAACTGAAAGCTAATTAAAAAAATCTGTAGTGCTAAGTTAGTACATATTAGGGTTGGRCATAATCGTATCGTGTGCAATTAATCGCCAGAAAAACATTAATCGATTATTTTTTGGCACTTGACGATTAATACGATTAATGCCACTCAGAGCTCCTTTCCGCTTCAACTATGACGAACATAAAAAAAAACGTTCTGTAATTTATTTATCTATCAACACAATTTAAAAATTGATGCATAGACTGGAATCTGTAATTTTGACACAATTTGGAACAGATTTTTTATAAAGAACAAATCTTTCCCTCTAAATTGGTCATGTGACCAGGACATAAGGGTGTCCAGGGGATTAATCGTCAAATTAATCGTTATCGACCAAATACCACAATTAATCGTGATTAATTTTTTTGCCAATATTGCCCAACCCTAGTACATATGATGCAAAGAACTGTTTAGAAAAAACCTTTACTTCTTAAAGTCAGTTTTATTTGATCAATTTTAATATCAGTTATGAATTATCTTAATGTACCTAAATATGAATTTAATATTTTTTTTTATTTGTATCGGTTTTCAGTCAAAACTGAAGTGACGGCACAACTGTGTCTGCCTGAACGAAGAACAAGTGAATTTGCAGGGAACTATCTTGTCACCTAGTTAATCTTTCCCCAGCTACGAGCAGCTCTCCGCCTTGTGCCCCAGCCTTCCTGTCTCAGTTTGTTTAGCAGGCTTGTACGGAGAGACGAGGGCTGATCCCTTTCGCCTCCGCTCAGCACGCCGAAACCCTACATTCCGCACCATGGCTGCCACGGACGTTGACGTATTTTCGGTAAGCAAAAACAGCGCGGCGTCCTTTTTGTTGCTCCCGAATTACAAGGAGTAAAAACAAAAGAAAGAAAGTCCAGCCACGGCACGATAGGATGCATTAAACACGGGTTTGCGTGTGTTAGCTGTAGCTAAGCCTCCCCCGCTTCTGAAGCTCGCTGAGCGGGTTCAGACGAGATTGTGGAAGTGATTCATTCGTACTGGTTTTAGCCTGGTTATGACAAACGAGTTGTGACTGCCATTGCTGTTTTAATTTCGTGTCTTGTGGGGTTTCTTCTCGTGAAATGCGGCTCTTATCCCCCTGCAAGCGTGGCTGCTCGTCCCTCTAATCACAACACATTCACGGTTACTTTCATTGATTTAAAAGTGCAAAATGTTTGTTAGCAAGCTCCTTCTTTCACATGATAGACTCGAAGTTCACACATATTGTTCAGATATAACACATTTTTACATTGTTCAAACAATACAAAACTTTGGCTGTATTTATTTAACAAAATGTGTTAAAGTATCGCGAGATAACAAATGGAATCTGACCTGAAACAAATGCTTTTTGTTATTAAAAGTTTGAGTTGTTAATAATATRTAGTACCCCCTAAAACACCAAAGGTATTTTTTAGTTAAAAAACGTATTTTTCCTGTACATCAATTAAAGTTTAGCACTTTAATGAGACATTTCTGGCTGAAACATATGCTTTTTGTTATTAAAAGTTTGAGTTGTTAATAATATGTAGTACCCCCTAAAACACTAAAGGTATTTTTAGTTAAAAAACTTATTTTTCCTGTTCACCAATTAAAGTTTAGCACTTTAATGAGACATTTCTGGCACTAAAATGTATACATGGCTGCACTTTTTAGTTACAAACAAAGATTTTGTATTATTTTTTTTTGCTCAGTATGCTCCACTTCTTTTTTCTAAATCAAATGCAGTGTTATTCCTTAAATAAAAAAGTCATAGTTTAAAAACTAAAGTATTAACCCTTCAGTAAAAGGGGACATTGGTGCTCAGTGTGCCGTAGTATTTTAATCCTGAGGCTGCAGGTTCGAGCCCAGGTTTTGCCTGAAAAGGCATTTGGCGTAAAAAAAAACCTTTGGTGTAAGCGTTGTTCATGGTTGATAAAAGAGATAACTTTCAGATTAAAGTGAAACTCATCTAGTATTTTTTTTTCCAAGTAACAAGCCATGCTGTCTATCAGGTTTGACCTTGTGTGAGCGGTCGGGTGGGAGAAATAATTTTATTTCCAAAAAAACAACAAAAAACTTTGGTGTAAGCGTTGTTCGTGGAAGATAAAAGAGATAACAACTTTCAGATTAAAGTGAAACTCATCTAGTATTTTTTTCCCCAAGTAACAAGCCATGCTGTCTATCAGGTTTGACCTTGTGTGAGCGGTCGGGTGGGAGAAATAATTTTTTTCCAAAAACAAAAAACAAAAACAAACAAAAAAAAAAAACCAAGCACTAACGCTTAATAATAAGAATATGTGAAACAATTTTATAGGACGGTGGCCAGTAAGGGATTTAAAAAGGAAGATTAAGTTTTTGGCAGACACTTGWAAGGGTCCCTGAGTTGGACAGTAGGCAACACTGAGATCCAGGGATAAAGAGATTAGGTACATGCTCCTGGCCACTCCTACTACTTAGTGGTGCAACACGTCTTCAAAGAAAGGAAAGGATCCAAGGATGCAGCTGATACTGCACACTTGGCACTCCTTGTTTAGGAACGGATCCAACGTAGTGCATGAGATTTTGCAGACTGGTGAACTTTTTTCTTTTCTTCCCAACTGTCTGTTTGAATTTAAAACGAGAYGATTGATTCATGAGAAAAAATGCTGAGAATGCAGTGAAACAGGCTAGTGTTTGCAACCACACAGCTGCCTGACTTCTTGTTTGAACTTTCTGACATAAAATGAGGCCACTTTGAAAAAAAAAAAAAAAAACAACTGTCGTGCACCTCTTGAATGTTTGTGTGAAGGGTTAATTATACACAACTATCGATAGCAATGTCTGTGTGGTTGGTTTGATTGTTGGCCCCCATCGATCCTGTTTCATGGAGACTGTAGCTTTGGGATGACTTTTTAGGTCAAATACAAATGAGGGGGATCAATAAAATTGTATTTAACTGTTTTCACTCAGCGATTGCATCCTATCGTGTAGCATAAAACACTGACGTTTATTTAAATAGTTCTGTAAAGTGCCCTGCAACATTTTTAATCATGTACAGTGCTTACTGACCCTGAAGTGTATTGCCTCTCCCTTGAGTCCTGCATGCATCAAATGAAATTAGCTTCATAAAGTGCTTAAAGCTAAAAGACAAGGAATGCGACGTTTTTGTGTTTTGGTTTGAGATATTTAATCTAAACTCAGTTGGAATTTGTTCATTTTTAATAGTAACAAACAGGAACGTCCTTTTTCTCTTGTAGTGCGTGTCAGATTTGAGACATTACAAACTTTAGCACGTCATGTTTTATAGGCTGCACAGAACAATCCAGAGCTGCCGAAAGGCGAACTTGTCAACTCCAGTAACACAGATGGATAATGACAGTCAAGCTGCAGCTTCTCTGTAGTGATGAGTCATTACCCATCTAAGTTTTGAAATACGTTTCTTTTTATTTGATGAAGTAAAGATAAAAATAATCCTAAGGTAATATTGACTAAGCCAAAAGGCTTTTTTTTTCTCTTTATGCAGTTTCATCATTTCACATTTTCTACTAAAATCAAAACTGACCGGTTGTTGGACGACATAGCTGAGAGGCTCAAGATGATTTCAATGCCTGACGAGTTACACCCAGCAGATTCATCATGCATCTTATTTAAAGCTGGCCCTGCAACTCAAAGTGCCCTCTTTCAAATATAGTATTTTTCCCCATCTGTTATAATCTTAACACATGGCTATTTTCATTCTTCATGCAAACCCAATTTATCCTTCAAAATGTTAACCCAGACTTGACCTTGGTTATTTTGTGTTGACAAGGTGGACAACACAACAGAAGATAAACTGAATGCCAATATGATTTTAAAAATGAGAATATACACTCACTGGCCACTTTATTAGGTACACCACGCTAGTAACGGGTTGGACCCCCTTTTGCCTTCAGAACTGCCTCAATTCTTCGTGGCATAGATTTGTAGTGGTCACCGTGGGTGGAATAAACGTTCCACCTGCCTTTGACCTTGACCACGGAAGGCCTCCTTTAAAGA